GCTTCTTTGCATGCCATTATTTAAAAAGAGTCTATATTTAGTTTTAGGTTCCCAGCAAAATTCAACAGAAAGTGCAGAGAGTTCCTTATGTCCCTGCCCCCATATACTTGGCCTCTTGCACTAGCAACATCTCACACCAGAGTGGTACATTTGTTACAACTGATGAACCTACACATCATCCATAGTTTACATAGGGTCCACTCTTGGTGGTGCATATGCTATGAATTTTGTCTATATATATTGGCATGTACCTGACATTATAGTATTACTCTGAATAGATTTACCACCCTAAAATCTTCTGTGCTCCATCTATTTATTCCTCCATCTTCCCTTATCTTTTTTAAAATTATTTTTTATTTTTTATTGATTTCAGAGAGGAAGGAAGAGAGAGAGATATAGATACATTCATGATGAGAGAGAATCACTGATTGGCTGCCTCCTGAACAAACCCCACTAGGGATCGAGCACACAACCAGAGCATGTGACCTGACCAGGAATCAAATCAAGACCTCCTGGTTCATAGCTCGATGCTCAACCACTGAGCCATGCTGGCCGGGCAACCACTGATCTTTTAAATGTCATATAGTTGAATGTCATATATTTCAAATCCTGCAATATACAGTCTTTTCCGATTGATTCTTTCACTCAGTAATTTGCATTTAAGTTTCCTCACGTCTTTTCATGGTTTGATAGTTCACATCTTTTTGGCACTGAATAATCTTCCATTCTATAGATATGACACAGTTTATTGAACTACGCACCTAGGGAAGGACATCATGGTTGCTTCCAAGTTTTGGCAATTAGGAACAAAGCTGCCAGAAACATCTGTGTATAGGTTGTTGTGCAGACATAAGTGTTAAACTCTTTTGGGTAAATACCAAGGAGGACAACTGCTGGATTGTATGGTAAGGCTATGTTTAGCTTTGTAAGAAACAGCCAAACTGTGTTCTAAAGTTGCTGTACCAATTTGCATTTCCAAAGTCTGTTGTTTCACATCCTCACCAGCATTTGGTATTGTCAGTGTTTTGGATTTGGGCCATTCTTACATGCATGTATCTCGTTTTAAATTGCAATTCCCTAACCACACATGATGTTGAGCATCTATGCTTATTTGTCATCTGTATATCTTCTTTGGTGAAGTGTCTTTTAAAGTCTTTTGCCATTTTTAAATCAGTTTGTTTGTTTTCTTATTGATGAGTTTCATAGTTCTTTGTATACTTTGGATAATAGTCCTTTTATCAAATATGTCTTTTTCAAATATTTTCTCCCAGTCTATGGCTTCTCTTCTCATTCTCTTGACAGTGTCTTTCACAGAACACAAGTTCTTAATTTCAATGAAACCTAACATCAATTATTTCTTTCACGGATCATGTCTTTGGTGTTGTATCTAAAAGATCATCAACAAACCCAAGCTCATCTAGGTTTTTCCCTATGTTATCTTACAGGAGTTTGATAATTTTACATTTTACATTTAGACCTAATATCTATTTCGAGTTAATTTTTGTGAAGGGTCTGTGTCCAGATCCATTTTTTAGCATGTACTATTGTTCAGAACCATTTGTTGCAAAGACTATTTTTCTCCATTTTCAAAGATCAGTTCTCCTTCATCAAAGATCAGTTCACTATATTTGTATAGGTGTATTTCTAGACTCTTCGGGTTGTTCTAATGATCTATTTATCTATTTTTCACCAAGAGCCTAGTGTCTTATCATAGCTTTATAGTTAAGTCCCAAAGTCAGGTAGTGTCAGTCCTCCAACTTAGTTTTTCTCTAATATTGTACTGCCTACCCTGGGTCTTTTGCCTCTCTACATAATAAGCTTTAGAATCAGTTTGTTAATATCCACAAAATACTTGCTGAGTTGTTTTTGTGTGTTTTTTAAAATATATTCTATTGATTTTTTACAGGGAGGAAGGGAGAGGGATAGAGAGTTAGAAATATCGATGAGAGAGAAACATCGATCAGCTGCTTCCTGCACACCCCCTACTGGGGATGTGCCCACAACCAAGGTACATGCCCTTGACTGGAATCGAACCCAGGACCCTTCAGTCTGTAGGCTGATGCTCCATCCACTGAGCCAAACCGGTCAGGGCCTTGCTGAGTTTTTAATTGGGATTAAACTGGATATATAAATTAAATTGAGAAGAACAGACATCTTGACATTACTGAGTCTTCGTATCCATGAACATGAAATATCACTCCATTTATTTCATTCTTTGATTTAATTCATCAGAGTTTTATAGTTCTCTTCAAATTAATATTGTGCATTTTTAAAATATCTTCTGTATTTATTATGATAATCAGTACTATGATTAATGCTGTCAGGTACAAATAGTAATACCACTTTTTTGAGCCTTTACTATGTGTCAGGCATTACAGTAAACATTTTGCACATGAAGTTTCAAGTTCCCAGATTTTAGTTTTTTAAATCTAGTTTACCTTTTTATATTACTGCTATTCTAAATTTTTCCCTTTTCCCTATATGTACTTGAATTGAATATTTCTAAATTAATGATGGAATACAAAAAGATTTTGTTATTTACTTACACTAAGAAGGTAACATTTAATTTACTCAGATTTAAAGTTCATATTTTAATCTACTTTTGGAAGTTGCCATCTCTTTTCCTTCACTCAGTGGTTTAAAAAGAATTCTACTCATATTGAACAAGAGAACAGAAATAAAGACATATGCCTTTTTCAGGGCTGAAAATTACCTCGGTCATGGGAGTAGTAAAAGAAAAATAACTGTGACAAATAAAGCCAGAGCAGACAGCACCTGAAAGTAGAACACTCAGAATGCTGGGGGTCAGTGAGGGTGGGGGATGCAGACACTGTAATAAGAGATGCCCTCAAAAGATTTAGAGTATCTAAGTACAAATCTGACACTGAAAACTCTAGCACGCTAAAGTAAAGAACAGGATCATATACTCAAGAAATTTGAGTACATGTAATTTTAAATGATAATAGCTATCATCTGTGGAATGCTTACTATGTGCTTGGTACTTGTCTAAGCATTTTGCATATATTAATTTATTAAATCCTCACAGCATGAGATAGGTTCTACTGCTAACACCATTTTAAGTTGAGGACACTGATGCACATAGAAGTTAAGTCAGTTCCCAATGTCATACTAAATAAAACATTTAAAATTTTACATGTTAAAAAGCTTAGTTTTTGAGATATTCTAAACTGCATTCACAATTTAATTAATGAAATTTCACAAAACCCTTGTGAAAGGTTGCCAGAATCAATCAGAGAATCTGTAATGTGAGGTAATTCAATTTTAATTTGGGAGACTTTGCCTATTGTGATGTGGCTCAAAGTAACCTGAGAAGGGTGTAAGTCAGAGAACTTGGAATATTTTAGATAAAAGAACCATCAGAGTCTAAAGCAGCATTCCAGATAGAACTGCAGAACCTACAGTTTTGTAGCACAAAACTGATATTGGGCTTCTAATTTGTTCCTTATTCTGCAGTTCCTCTGAATCTGTCATAATTTCAGATTCAAATCCTTCCATCATCACACATAGTATAGATCTATTTATCTCTTAACAATATTATAGCTGTTGGATGACTCCTAATTAGCGTGGCAACTTCAAATCATTGCTTATTTCAAATTTATAATTCACAGCTAGGTGTTGGGTTACCTAATTTCTACTGTTAACTTGGCTGCTGACTTTCTTTGAGACTGAGCAAGTCACTTATCTTGTGCTTCAGTGTCCTCCTTTAAAATGGAGACACTGGCCCTAGCTGGTTTTGCTCAGTGGATAGAGCATCCGCCTGCGGACTGAAGGGTTCCGGGTTCGATTCCAGTAAGGGCCACATGCCCAGGTGCAGGCTCGATCCCCAGTAGGGGGCATGCAGGAAACAGCCAATCCTCCTGCATGCCCCCTACTCTCTCATCATTGATGTTTCGATCTCTCTCCCTCTCCCTTCCTCTCTGAAATCAATAAAAATATATTTTAAAATAATAATTAAAAAATAATAAAATGGAAATACTGAACATTATAACAGAAGTGAGGTCATATGTGAATAAAGCATCTAAAGCTATAAAGAATTTTTTAAATGCGAAAGACTAATATAAATATTTATAGTTTTCTGGTACTGTGTTATTGATGAACTCGATCCAAAGTTCATACAGCTTCTTGCATATCAAACAATAGTGGAACAGTTTGTTCACGTAAGTTAGTTTGATCAAATTAGTTATTGGTAAAGGAAAGTGAGTATATTTTAACTCTTGATTCCAAATAAAGATAATGCAATAAATGTATAATGCAAATGTGTTTATACATGAAATGTTTCACATAACTACAGACAACAAACTACTTTTTTAAATTCAACTAGTATTAGGCTTTTTATTTGAAATAAGAAATTGGTATTTCTCTCTTTCCACCCTGAAAAATAATCTAAAAGCAACATAAAGAATGAGAAACACAAACCCCATTTTTGGAAATAGGAGACAAATCACAAAATGAGTAGAGACAGAGTAGGACTGCATGCTGTAGGCAGCAGGGAAAGGATGCTGCCACTGCAGCTGTCAAAGAACAAAGTACACTTCTTGAAGGTGACAGGCACACCCTAAGTCAAGATATAAACCCTTTGTTTATATCAGTGGAAAAAAGTGCATTGACTGACCATCAGAGTTCTGATAGATGTAGTATGGTTCCAAGAAAGAGGTGGGGACATTGCTAAATAAGGAATCACATAGACAAACTATATTTGCAGACAGAGAAGCCTTCCTCTGTGGCTATGGGAGAAAAGAGACTGACTATCGCCACTGACTGGGGCAAAATAAACGATGCAAAGAAAAGAAAAATTTAACAGCCAAAAAAAGAACATTCACAAGAAAAATATTGCTATAGAGCAGATGAAAATCATGACAAATTAATTAATAAAACTAATTATGCAATCAACTCTAACTTGAGATTTACAAAAAATATATAATCATAAAATTTTGTTTATTAGAAAGCTAACAACTAAACTAGTATAATTAATCACTCACCTCTGATTCATATTTTATTTTTTCTTCTTCTAAAGTACGTGCAAATTCTCCTTTCTGGTGTTCGAACTCTGACTTGAGAAATGTATTTTCATAGCGAAGCTTATTATATTCAGCTCTATACTTTTCAACTTCCTAAATTAAAAGAAGACTATAGTTTAATCACAAATTTATGAATGAAATTTATATCCATTCCAAAAATTACTTTTGTAAATATAATTTTAAATTACATTATATTCAGAGTAATTCTAAAAGTAAAAACTAAGCTTAAGAGAAGTATAAATAAACCTTGGAAAAGTTCTGATAACTAGGATGCTACACACAGAATTAATACATTCCTGAGAAGGCACTAATAAAGACAATTATCATTCAATTAACCTTATTTCCTCCCTGAGTCTCATAATAAAAATGTATAGCATGTCCGAAGTTTTGACCTCTGGACTTAATAAAATAATATTTAAGAATGTAACATACCTTTTAATATATAGTTAGGTTAAAAATTAATTTTATAAAACATAAAATACCTCCTAAAAGTCAGACATAATGAATTCAGAGTAGATAAAAGATTATTTGGCTATTTAGTACAATAACTTAAGGTTCAATCAAATATTACAATGATGCAAATTCAACACATCTGCCTGAAGAATATATGAAGCACCAACTCTCCTTACTAACAAGGAACACATGCAATTCCCTGGTATAGTCCAGCTCCTCTTCCTGATACTATGAAAGTTGCTGGCATTCTGAATCTCAGTAAGAACTTAAGACAACAGAACAGAAAGATGGAGGAGACATTATTTAAACATATACTAGAAAAATCTATATATCTATATATATAAAAGCCTAAGCAACTAAACGACAGGTCAACCGGTTGCTATGACACAGTGACCACCAGGGGGCAGACACTCAACGAAGGAGCTTCCCCCTGGTGGTCAGTGCGCTCCCATTGTGGGAGCATCGCTCAGCTGACTAACAGGCGCCCGATGCCAGGCTGATGGCTGGCGAGTGCAGCTGCGGCGGTGCAAGCCTCTCCCATGGACACTCCTCTTGTGCACCTGATCGGACTGACTGGGCACAAGCCTGCAGCCAGCATAGCAAGGCTGAGATAAGCAGGATCGGCAGGCAACATTGGACTGCCGGTTTCGCCCAATTGCCGCAGGCCATGCTGAGGGACCCCACCAGTGCACAAACCCGTGCACTGTGCCTCTAGTTAAGTAATAAGGAAGCCTCCTAAAATACTCGGCTCCCTGAAATCTTCAGTTTAAAGATTTCTATGCCAATTTACAAACCAAGGATATGTTTTTTTGTGATTTTATTAGAGACATACTTTGTTTTGGTATTTTTAAATATGCTTTTACTTAACTGGATCACCTACTTAAGTCTAAGTAATTTTGTTTATATCCAAAATTGAAACCTATTCACCATAATGCTTTGATTAGGAGACTATTCAAAAAATGACGTTATCAAGCCAGTTAACCATTTATAACAGTGGTCGCCAACCGGTGGTCCATGAGGTCCAAAAGTTTGGCAACTACTGGTTTAAGGAAACCTTTGGACCAGACCACTGGTGGTCCGTGAGGTCCGAAAGGTTGGCAACCACTGATTTATAAAACAGGATCTACAACTGTTTCGAGCAATGGCAACATCACTAGACTATAGCTCCCTAAAGGGGTCCATTTTGAAGGGGACAATACTCATTTGTATGTATACTGCTCAGTATATTTGTTAAATAAATGTCTAGTTTAGTATCTAATATACTTAATATCGATCATCTTTTCCTGTCTCCTTTATTAAACATTTAGTCATATTACACCAAGGTTTCATTTACGGAGACTGGTTGCAATTTGAAGGAAAACTGTATCAAATTTTTTTTCTTTTCTAAGGTTGCATGAAATTCATTCCTTCATTCAACAAATATTGAGTACCTATTGTATGCTAGGAACTGTTCTAGGAACTTGAAATGTAATAGTGAGTAAAACAGATAAAGTTCCTCCGCTCATGCAAGCAGTGGTAAAAGATAATATAAAAAAATAAGCACAATGAGTATTATACAGCATATCAGAAGATAGTAAGTACTCGAGGGAAAAAAAATGTAGAGCAGGGTAAATGGGGATCCAAAGGTCTAAGGAGTGATGGAAAAGGCAAGTTGCAATATTAAATGGGGGCAGGAGTTGGTCAAAGTAGGCCTCATTGAGAAGGTGATGTCGAGAAGTTGACCAAAAGATACCTGGAGAGTGTTCAAGGCAAAAGCAACTGCTAAAGCAAAGACTCTTGAATGGCACCATTTCTAGAATGCCAAAGAAACATCAAGGAGGCCAGTGTGGATGGAGAGAAGGAAATCAGAGAAGTAATGGGGTCTGATCCTGTGCAGCCTTAAAGGCTATTGTAAGGACTGAGCAAGAAAGGGAGCTATTGCAGGGCTTCTGTGTAGAGAAGATGCTTTTCAAAAGCTTTTCATAGTCACATGAAGATATATGCATAGTTCTTTCTGCATAAATTACTTACTTCATCCAGACTCCTAAAACGCTCTCTCATTGGAGTTTCTAATTCTTGTCGTATTTGGGCTCTGAACAATTCCAAGTTTTGTGGAGTTAATACCTAATATGCAGAGAAAAACAAACAATTCTAAATATGAAAAAACAAATATTAAAATCAAGAATTTGCAAATTTCAAAACCTCTCTTGTTACGACAATAAAATGCAATTCAAAGTAATTTTACAATATACCTAATTTTAGAGAAGTCACTATATAAATAATAATTTAAGAATCTCAATTTCAGACTCTCAGAGATATCAAAAATTCTATCAACATGAGGTAAAGATAATCACTGATTATTATCATTGTGATTATTAGAAATAACTATGTTAGCAGCTAAGGTTATCATGTTATATACAATGGCTGATAGTTTATTTTCTAAAGCAAACAAAATAAAGATGTAATAATTCAGTATGCCATAGAGAATTCTTCAGACTTATTTTCAATCAGAAAAGGCTGATTTTTATGTTGGTTATAAAAAACTAATTTAGGCTCCTCCCTGTTACACTCCTTTACAAAATTTATCTTTCAAAAAGTAACTGAATATTTCATTTACCATGGTATTCCCAACACCCTGCACCACTGCCTACCACATAGAAACCACTCAATTATTATTTCTTGAATGAATAAATATTGGTTGTTAAAAAAAACAACCTAGCTTGCTTTTATATTAATTTCCAAAAAAACTAAGAATAGGGAATAAGGACACATATGTAATACCTTAATCAATAAAGAAAAAATTTAAAAGAAAACACTAAAAATAATGTTCAGTTTAATTCATTCATTCATTTATCAATATCCAAATTTCCAAACATTTTACTGAATAAATGCCTACTATACAGAGTGAAGCAAAAATAGGTTTCTAGTTGTATGGAAAACAATACAAAAAATAAATAATAATACAATAATAAACCCGGTGTTTTGTGTACTCACAACTGTAAACCTACTTTTGCCCCACCCCCTATATAAAACATTCTAATATTAGGTCACTTAAATTTATTCCATAGCTCGTTGATGTTATGTTTATTTTTAATCTCTTTTGTCTTCTTGTTTCATTTTGGGTAGTTTTTATTGTCATGTCTTCAAGTTTACTGATCTTTTCTTCTGCATTGTCTAATCTGCCATTAAGATCATACAGCATATTTTTCATCTCAATAATCATAGTTTGTATTTTATTATTTGGTCTTTTCATCTTTTAGTCTTTTCATATCTTCCTTATCTCTACTTAATATGGTCAATCTTTAATCTCACTTTTGAACATAAGGAATTCAATTATAATAACTATTTTAATGTCTTTGTTAATTCTAATATTTGTACCACATCAGGTTTGGTTCTGACTCATTGACTTTCTTTTCCTATTTATTGTGGGTAGTATTCTCCTGTTTATTCCATGCCTGGTAAATTTCTGTTTGATGCTAGACATTGTAAATTTTACTTTGCTTCGTGCTAGATATATTTGTATTCTGATATTCTTAAGCTTTGTTCTGGTAGACAATTACTTGGAAACAGTCTCATCTTTCTGGGTCTTGCTCTTAAGAATTAAGTGTGAGCAAATTAGTGTTTGATGTAGTGCTAATTACTTCCTACTGCTGAGACCCTTCTGAGTACTCACTAATTTCTCTGTGAAATGAAGTTCTTTAGCCTGGCTTTGGGGAAAGGAAATATGCATAGCTCTGTATGAACTCCATACAGTCATGCCTCTAATCCTTTCAGGTGGCTCTTTTCCAGGCCTTAGATGTTTCCCTTATATGCATGTGCTGATCATTCTTCTACTGAATGAGCTGAGAGGGTCTTTTGAAGATCTTTATTAACTTTTTTTCTGTGCCACCCTCCTCTCTGCTACCCTGTCTTGTGACTAGCCACACTACTCTCTGAATATGAAAAAACAAATATTAAAATCAAGAATTTAATCAATTAAAATCAATTCCATCTCCTCAGGGAGTCTATCAGACTTTGTCTGGGTATTCCTTCTGTGCCGTGACTTGGAAGCGTTTGCAAAATTCGCCTTCTTTGATTTTTGTCTTTCAGGGGTCTTTGTCACTTTATAATGTCCAGTGTCTTGAAACCGTTTTTATCTAGTCTCTATTATGCCATATATAATTTTTCAACAATTTTATCAGTCATATACCAAATTACTCCCATCTTTTTAAAAAAACTTTTGCCAACATAATACATAATAACAATATAATAGCTAAATGATCTAACCATTTCTACATCAAAGCACTATACTAACATTTTCTATGAGTTTCTCGTTTCATCTTTACAGTCATCCTATGAGCCAAGAACTATTATTACTCTCATTCACTTCCACTACATGTAACCCAGAAATATTCTTTAAATGAGTATTTTTATATCGTTTTTCTTGAAAAGCCAAAGAGATATTAAAGCAACTCAGAAAAGGCACTTTGCAGGTAGACAAGATAATACATGTGTATTTTTAAAATAATCATCTTTCATAAACCTTCGAAATATTTCTTGCGGATCTTACTCGAGTTTAGTGAACTTTACTCAACTCACAATTTGTACAAATTATAAACATCCATTAAAGCAAAGAGCTAAATTGCTTCAATATATGTATAGATAATACATAATGTTTCTTTAACTTATTTTTGCCAGACAAATGTCACATAAAAGCCAGGTATGTATATCTTAAAAAATAGAAACTTTACTAGATAAATTATATTTTTCAGCAAACATTTGGGAAGTTATTACGTGGAGAAATGTCCAAAGTTATTTTGTGTAGATCCAAGGAACAGTATAAGAACCATCGGGGAGACTTTAGGGAGGATGATTTCATTGCAATATGAGAGAGAAAATGCTTAACATACTCCAACTGATAAATGGAGCTGGGTTCCTTTAAAACAACGGTTCTCAACCTGTGGGTCATGACCCCTTTGGGGGTCAAACGACCCTTTCACAGGGGTCGCCTAAGACCACCGGAAAACACATATATAATTACATATTATTTTTGTGAGTAATCACTATGCTTTAATTATGTTCAATTTGTAACAATGAAAATACATCCTGCATATCAGATATTTACATTACGATTCATAACAGCAGCAAAATTATAGTTATGAAGTAGCAACGAAAATAATTTTATGGTTGGGGGTCACCACAACATGAGGAACTGTATTAAAGGGTCGCAGCATTAGGAAGGTTGAGAACCACTGCTTTAAAAGTTCACTTGGTTCTCTAGCACTGAAAGCACTGGAGCAGAGAATGAAGAGCTGCGTGTCATAGGTGTTCCAATTGTGCTCTGGACAGTATATTAGTTTCCTAGGGCTGTGATAACAACATAGAACAAATAAATTGGTTTGAACAACAGAAATGTACTGTTTCACAGTTCTGGAGGCTAGAAGTCCAAAGGTGTCAGTAGGCCACATTCCCTCTGAAAACTGTAGGGTGAATCCCTCCTTGCCCTGTTGAAGCGTCTGGTGGTGTGCTGGCGATCCTTGGCAGCTATAGCACTTCATCTCTGCTTCTGTCATCACAGGACATTCTTCCCGTGTTCCTGTCTCCCCCGCCCATGTATCTATCTGTCTCTGTGTCTGTTCTCCTCTTCATATAAGGACACCATACTTCAGTATGACCTCATCTTAACTATGTCTGTAAAGACCCTATTTCCAAAATAAGGTCACATTCTGAGGTAATGGGAGTTAGAACTTCAACATATCTTTTTGGGGGACAATTCAACTCATATCAGATATGAAAGAGGACTAGGTAATTATCAACTCTAAAAAGCTGAGACTCCAGGTACATATAAAACAAGAAGTTCAACATTACATATGAACAGAACAATTCTGATGCATTCATTTATTGTTTATGTAGGTGATTCATTAAACAAGTATTTTCTAGGCACTGCCTTGAGCACTGGAAACACCATGAAAAGGTTCCTGCCCTCATGAAATCTGTATTCAAACATAATAAAATGACCACCATGTATGTGTACCTACTGTGTAGTAATGAGACATAAGTTATCTCACTAATCCTCACAACAATCCCTGTTAGGTAACAACTTTTATCCTCTTTAACACATGAGAAAACTAAGGCATAGGAACAAAGCTATTTGTTGAAGGTCATCATCTTCCTGGCAAACTGACCCTTTTTGTTATTAAAATGTTTTTTTTACCTTTAGTGATAATCTCTGTCTTGAAATCTATTTTATCTGGTATTAATATAGCTACTCCAGGCTTCTGAAGTATACTGTTTGCATGTGCGTGGTAAAAAGAAGCATGAACAGGTGTTACTCTTAAGAAACAGAGTAATTTACATTTGCAATGCCTGAAGAATACTTTCAGTATCTTGAATTCAGTGCTCACAGATTCCATTCAGATAGGCCTCTGAATTTTTGCAACACAAAGCAAGCCACCAATTCTAATGGCTTAAATTACATTTTCCTCTGAGGTTTTTATTTTTATTTTTGTTAAACATCCTAAATATGCCCAGGAATGAACCAGTAAGCACACTGAAGGTTTCATTCCAAGCTTAATGGTTTGTTGTTCCCAACAATGGAAGATTTCAAGAAGACACTGAATGACAAATTCCCAACACAGCTGTCAAAGGAATCCATTAATTAGGTGAGATGCCATACTAGATGACATGAAAGATGGCTTTTTTAAAAAACATTTTTTAAATATATTTTATTGATTTTTTACAGAGAGGAAGGGAGAGGGATAGAGAGTTAGAAACATCGATGAGAGAGAAACCCTGCACACTCCCTACTGGGTATGTGCCCGCAACCAAGGTACATGCCCTTGACCGGAATCGAACCTGGGACCCTTGAGTCCGCAGGCCGACGCTCTATCCAATGAGCCAAACTGGTTAGGGCTGAAAGATGGCTTTTTACTTTATCAACTTATGACTCCAAGATTAATAGTACCCTATTATTTGTACCAAGCACTAGATAGAAATACACAGCTGGTCCTATCAAAGATTAAATAAATGTAGGAAAATACCACTAGTAATGCCTACTGATTTGAAATATATAGTATGTTTGACTGGTGCTGAAGTTTGCCTTTGCTTTACTTTCTAGGCAAATGAAAAACAGTGCAAAAAAGGAACTAAAGAAACTGTAGTCAGTACTTTAGTACCAACTAGCTTTTGCTTTAGAGACTACATTTACCTTACATTATACACATAAATTATGTGTACATACTGTTTTTACAGGGTCTTTTAAAAAACTTAAATAAACAAAAACACTATTGTTACTAGCTTAGTTTCAGTTACAATACTTAAAAGAAAATTAGTAGTCGCCCAGCTGTGGTGGCTCGGTTGTTGAGTGTCAACCTATGAACCAGGAGGTTACAGTTCAATTCCCAGCCAGGGCATATGCCCAGGTTGCAGGCTCGATCCCCAGTGGGGAGGGGGGTACAGGAGGCAGCCGATCAATGATTACCTCTCATCTTTGATGTTTCTATCTTTCTCTCCCTCTACCTTCCTCTCTGAAATCAATTTTTTTTAAAAAATTAGTAGCTTGGGCTTGTTTGATTACCGATCAGGGCACATGCCTGTGTTGTGGGCTTGATCCCAAGTAGAAGGTTTGCAGGAGGCAGCCAATCCAACCAACTGAGCCAAACATACTTTTTTTAAAAAAGAAGAAGAGAAAATTAGTAAAATCTTTCTTTAAAAAAAATTTAATTCTGGATTTTTATCAATTCAAAGTGGTCTTTTCCTAAATTATTTTGATAGTGAAATATTATTTAAATCAGAATAGGTAACAGAATACAAATTTATATAAATAAGAGTTTCATGGCTAAACCCTACATGGTAGCAAAAATCTAGACTATAAAAAAGAAAATTAAATTGTACCACCAAACTACTTCCACAAAACATATGACAATTTTTATATTAACTCAAATACATTTTGTTACCTGTAGCTTTATTTCTTCTAAGTCTTTAGTTTTCTCTAATAATTCCCCTCTTAGTTCTTCAAACAGTAGCTGGAATTTTTCCTGGTTAGTTTGCTTTTCATTTAACAGGCGTTTGAGTTCATTTTGTGACTTTGTGTACTCATCTTGCAACCTGATTTAAAAAAAAAAAAAGAATTCAATTTTAAGTGTAGCCTTTGTTTTCTAACTGCATTACTTTTTTTTTTATTATTAAATCTTTATTGTTCAGATTATTACCGTTGTTCCTCTTTTTTCCCCCCATAGCTCCCCTCCACCCGGTTCCCGCCCCACCCTCTGCCCTTACCCCGCCCCCCACTGTCTTCATCCATAGGTGTACGATTTTTGTCCAGTCTCTTCCCGCACCCCCACACCCCTTTCCCCCTCGAGAAGTCAGTCCATTCCCTTTCTATGCCCCTGATTCTATTATAATCACCAGTTCATTCTGTTCATCAGATTATTTATTCACTTGATTTTTAGATTCACTTGTTGATAGACGTGTATTTGTTGTTCAGAATTTGTATCTTTACCTTTTTCTTCTTCTTCCTCTTCTTAAAGGATATCTTTCAGCATTTCATATAATATGGGTTTGGTGGTGATGAACTCCTTTAGCTTTTTCTTGTCTGTGAAGCTCTTTATCTGACCTTCAATTCTGAATGAAAGCTTTGCTGGGTAGAGTAATCTTGGTTGTAGGTTCTCGCTATTCATCACTTTGAATATTTCTTGTCACTTCCTTCTGGCCTGCATAGTTTCTATTGAGAAATCAGCTGACAGTCGTATGGGTACTCCCTTGTAGGTAACTGACTGTTTTTCTCTTGCTGCTTTTAAAATTCTCTCTTTGTCTTTAGCCCTTGGCATTTTAATTATGATGTGTCTTGGTGTGGTCCTCTTTGGACTCCTTTTGTTTGGGGTTCTCTGCGCTTCCTGGACTTGTAAGTCAATTTCTTTCACCAGGTAGGGGAAGTTTTCTGTCATTATTTCTTCAAATAGGTTTTCAATATCTTGCTCTCTCTCTTCTTCTGGCACCCCCATAATTCGGATGTTGGTATGTTTGAAGTTGTCCCAGAGGCTCCTTACACTCTCTTCATATTTTTGGATTCTTTTTTCTTTTTGTTTTTCCGGTTGGGTGTTTTTTGCTTCTTCATATATCAAGTCTTTGACTTGATTCTTGCGATCCTCAAGTCCAGTGATGGCGAACCTATGACACGCGTGTCAGAGGTGACACGCGAACTCATTTTTTAAATTTTTCTTTGTTAAATGGCATTTAAATATATAAAATAAATATCAAAAATATAAATCTTTGTTTTACTATAGTTGCAAATATCAAAAAATTTCTATATGTGACATGGCACCAGAATTAAGTTAGGGTTTTTCAAAATGCTGACACGCCGAACTCTAAAGGTTCGCCATCACTGCTCTAGTCTGCTATTGGAACTCTGTATAATATTCTTTATTTCAGTCAGTATATGCTTAATTTCTAGTTGGTCCTTTTTCATATCCTCGAGGGTCTCACTAGATTTCTTGCCCTCACTAAATTTAACAGCGGTTTCTAGAAAATTCTTGAAAAACCTTAACAGTGTGGTTTTGAACTCTATATCCTGTAGTTTGCTTTCCTCCATTTCTGTCATTTGTGACCTGTGTCTTTGTCTCCACATTTTTTATGCTTCCCTGTGTTGATAGAGTGGCTTTCTGTGCTAGGTGTCCTATCGGGCCCAGTGGCTCAGCCTCCCCAATTACTTCCGGTGGAAACTCTTGGCACACCCTTTTGTGGGCTTTGTGCACAGTCTTGTTGTAGTTAAGTCTTGATTGTTGTAGGTATCACTGGGAGGAATTGACCTCCAGGCCAATTGGCTGTGAGAATCAGCTGTGTCTGCAGTGGGAGAACTTCTGAGCTGGAGACACCCTTCTGGGGCAAGACATGCTTCAGTGAGGCTTTGGTGCTCACTGAGTCTGCCCCCTGAGTGTGTCCCTTATGGATCTGAGGAGTTGTAATCTGGATGGTCCCACTCTGACAACTGGGTACACTGGCTCTTGGATCTCTAAGGAGGTGCTAATTTAGCCTCTGCCTGAGGCTACCCAGCAGGAGCTATGGAGAGATCTGCAGATTCCTCTTCCTTGTTTGGGGTTTGGAGGTGCCCAGATGAGGCCCAGCTGTGAAGCAATGCAAGCTGCTGTGGGGCCTTGGACCTTCTTTTGGAAGTTCTGGGTCTCTCTGACCCAGCTGGAGATTGTTAGGTAATTTTCAGATTGCAAAGGGCCAGGCCTTTCATATGCCAAAGCCTCTGCGCACAGCTTGGGTGGGGTGGGGTCTCAGGGGATCAACAGGAGCAAGCAGCTATGGCTGCTCCTCAGTCCTACCCTAAGAGGCCCCGCATTTCAGTGACCTGGTAATCGCTGCAAGCACCTCTGAAAGAAAGCTGCCCTCAAGTTCCGACCGATTCCAGACAGTCCAGTTTCTCCCCGTATGAGTCTGGGTCCCCAGAGAATCACCCGGAACTGGAGTCCAGAGCAGTGGGGAGCTTGAGACTCCCTCCCAATTGAAAAAGATAACCATGTCCTCAGTTGCCAGCCCTTTCCACGTGCACCTCCGTACCTCTGCACTTTAATTCCCCACCTCCTCTGAGTCTCAGTGTGCTTTTCTCTTTCCTTCTAGTTGTATAATTTCCACTCAGCCAGCCTTCCTGTGGTTCTGGATGATGTCCATTTTGTCTTTTAGTTGTATTTTAGAGGTGGTTGTGCGAGGCAGCAATTTCCGGTGTTTACCTATGCCGCCATCTTGGTTTCTCTCTAACTGCATTACTTTTTATGTAAAGTCAATCAAAACTACAGAAGACCAATATCATATATCCTATTAAAACTGTAATATTGCCCTGGCTGGGTTGCTCAATGGTTACAGTATCGGCCTACAGAAAAGGGTCTCAGGTTCGATTCCCAGTCAAGGGCACGTACCTGGGTTGCAGGCTCCATGCCTAGCCCTGGTCAGAGTGTGAATGGGGGGCAACCAATTAATGTGTCTCCCTCACATCAATGTTTCTCCCTCTCTCTCTACCCCCCATCCTCCCTCCTCTCCATTCTCTCTAAAAAAAAAAAAAATCAAGAGAAAAAAAAATATCCTCAGGTGAGGATTTAAAAAAACAATACTGCAAATATCTTTTTCTTTATAGAGTTTCATTTAATTATTAATGCAGTAGTTTCTGAAAGCAATTTTACTTTGAGGTGAAAAAACAATTTAGCCACACAGATACATTTAATTATATATGTCTTAGCTACTTTCAAAACAAGACTTTTATAAATTCATAATACAACTTGATACCATACTTAGTTTTGAATAAAGCAATTTTAAAGCAAAAATTTTACTGTATTAAAGTTTTAAATGCATATACTGTAAAAAGCTAAAATTATACTGTATGTTCCAGAGCAAACATTCAAAAAATATTTTTTTTCAATGCAAGGTTCTCATCTCCAAATTTAAGTATTTTACCTGTTGTGTTCGGCTTTCAGAGTCTGATAATTAGTTTTATGTTGTTCACATCGTAATCTTTCTTCAATTAACATACTTTGGAACGCACGGTCAGAATCTATCAGCCCACTGTCTCCACCAGGAGGACAAATGACGGGAAGAGTGTTCATATTGGTAGGTAAGCTGACAACCATGTAAAAATAAGTACTGGCTTCCTTATTGTCTTCGTTTTTTTTCCCAAGATTATTTTCCACTTCCTTCTTGCAAAGACAGAACCTTGGGAGGCCAAATTATACCTACGCAGAGAAATAAACTTAATTAATAATCAGTGAACTCATTCAGTGTTATATTTTTTATCACATTATTCTTCTTATCATTTCTATAATAAACCTGACTTTCAGATTTTCAACTGTTCAAAAATAAACTTGAATAATATCTTAACAAATTTTCTTCACATCCACCCAAAGTTTCTGTGACCATTAAGGTCACAGCTTCAAGTATTAACATAACCAGAAGTACTGACCTTTCTAGTTTAGGTATACTTCTGGAGTCAGATGTTTCCTAAAGCTACTGGCTTAAACTTCAAGGGTGGATCCTGATGCAAAATCCATATCCTAACCTAAAATCAGGGGGAAAGCCACTTGAAACTTGTTAAGTGGCTGGGGAGAATCACAGTCTTCGAAAAGATGGCCTTCAGTACGTTACTGTGAGTGTGTTTAATGCTGCAAAGAGTCTTTTGACACAAGGTGAGCTGCAGATTCAGATGCGGAATTAGTCAACACATAAACAGTGATCACCACCTACAAGTTACACACTATGCTAAGAAAAGAAATCTAAATCACCTCAGTGATCCCCAAAAGCACTGACTCAGGATTATGAAACAACTAAATGTCTGTTTTATGGGAAAGTAAAAAATAATGACAGTGTATTCTTACTATAAATAATTAAAATAAACATTTAAATCAAAATAATTCTGTCCCTTTAAAATTTATTAATCTTTCACAAGCCTAATATGCTAAGTGTCCGACCATTAATTTGACCATTCAACCAGTCCTATGATGCGCACTGACCACCAGGGGGTAGATACTCCAACCAGTAGGTTAGTTTGCTCCTGGGGTCTGGCCAATTGGAACTGGGCGAGATGGGCCGGACATATCGTGGAGCCAATCTCCAGTGGTCCCTCCCCACCTCTAAAATATTTCTTCTAATTAATATCCTTTCAATGTGCACAAATCCGTGCACCAGGCCTCTAGTTATTTATATATATACTAGAGGTCCGGTGCACAAAAATTTATGCACTCGGGGGGGGGGGGGGGGTGGACGCCGCACCCTGTCACACACAGAGCCACAGGGCGATCAGGGGGTTTGAGCACTGCCACCTGTCACGCTGATCCGGTACCAGGAGGCCTCGCGGCTCCACTGATCCCGGTGCTGGGAGGCATATTACCCTTTTACTATATAGGATAGAGGCCTGGGGGCCAGCTGGTTTTCCCTGAAGGGTGTCCTGGATCAGGGTGGGGGTCCCCACTGGGGAGCCTGGCCAGTCTGGGTGAGGAGCTGAGGGCTGCTTTCAGGCTGGCAATTGACTGAAGCTCCCAACCACTCCTTTTTTTCTTTTTCTTTTTTTTTTAAATTCTGGGCCAGCTTTTGCTCTGGCTCTAGCTCTGAGGTTTCCGCTGCTATAATCGAAACAATGTATAACTCTAGCTCTGAGATCCCGGCTGGCTGAAAGCTGGTTTCTGGGGTTTTGTTTATCTTCTATGTTTGCAACATAGTTTCTTAGAGTTGTAGCTCAGAGGCCGGCAAGTCAGGCGGGGAACGTTGGAGTCTGCAGTCACTGGAGCAAGCAAGCCTCATGTTCGCTTCCAGCTGCCTGGCTGCCGGCCGCCATCTTGGCTGACAGTAAATTTGCATAAGGATATGCTGATTAGCCAATGGGAAGGGTAGCGGTCGTACGCTAATTACCATGTTTCTCTTTTATTAGTGTAGATATCCTAACAGCATCTCCCACAGTGGAGTTTTTTAAAAATTGAAGGGGAAATCAGGAACTTCACAGACAAAAAAAAGGCTAAGGGAGTTTATCACCACCAAGCCAGCAATGGAAGAAATGCTAAAGGGACTACTGTAAAAAGAAGGAAAAAAAAAGGAATAAGAAACACAGGGACAAAAAATAAAAATGGCTAAAAACAAGTAGCTATCAATAATAACTTTAAACGTCATGGTCCAAATGCTCCAATCAAAAGACATCAAGTGGCTGAATGGATAAGAAAACATGAACCATATATATGCTGTCTATAAGAGACCCACCGCAGAACAAGAGACTCACACAGATTGAAAGTGGAGAGATGGAAAAATATCTTTCAGGCAAATGGAAAAGAAAAAAAAGCTATGGTAACAATCTTATCTAATAAAAGACAAATAGGCTAATTAACCGTTCCTCCTACAAACTTCCCATTGGCTAATCAGGGAGATATGCAAATTAACTGCCAACCAAGATGGCGGCCAACAGTCACGCAGCTGAAACGAACAGGAGGCTTGCTTGCTCCAGTGATGGAGGAAGCCAAGGTTCCCCGCCTGCGCGGCCAGGCTCTGAGCTGCACTCTAAGCAACAATGTTGCAATTATAGAAGCTAAACAAACCCCAGATACCTGCTTTCAGCCAGCAGAGGCCTCAGAGCTGGAGCTGCAACAGTGTTGCAATTATAGAAGCTAAACAAACCCCAGATACCTGCTTTCAGCAGTGGAGGCCTCAGAGCTGGAGCCAGCTCTCAGCTCCAGTGACAGCTATAGAAGGTAAATAAATCCCAGAATAAAAAAAAAAGAAAAAAAGGAGAGGTTGGGAGCTTCAGTCATCCACCAGCCTGAAAATGGCACTCAGCCCCTCACCCAGGCTGGCCAGGCACCCCAGTGGGGACCCCCACCCTGAAGGGGGTGTGACCAGCTGCAAACAGCCATCATCCCCTCACCCAGGCTGGCCAGGCACCCAAGCAGTACCCCCACCCTGATCCGGGACACCCTTCAGGGCAAACCAGCCAACCCCCACCCGTTCACCAGGCCTCTATCCTATATAGTAAAAGGGTACCATGCAAACTGACCCTAACAGCAGAAAGACTGGGAATGACTGCTCACTATGACACACACTGACCACCAGGGGGCAGATGCTCAATGCAGGAGCTGCCCTCTGGTGGTCAGGGCGCTCTCACATGGGGAACTCTGCTCAGATACAAGCCAGGCTGACGGCTGCCAGTACAGCGGTAGTGGTAGGAGCCTCTCCTGCCTCCTCAGCAGTGGTAAGGATGTCCGACTGCAGTTTAGGCCTGCTCCCCGCTGGCAAGTGGACATCCGAGGGCTGCCGGGCTGCCAGAGGGATGTCTGATTGCCACCTTAGGCCCAATACCCCGGGGAGCAGGCCTAAGCCAGCAAGTGGTCACCCCCGAGGGGTCCCAGACTGCAAGAGGGAACAGGCTGGGCTGAGGGACACCCCCACCCCCGAGTGCACAAATTTTTGTGCACTGGGCCTCTAGTACTTATATATGACAAAATAGAGTGAAGGCCATAACAAGAGATAAGGAAGGCCGCTTCATAATACTAAAGGGATCAAAACAACGGTATATAATTCTGGTAAACATATATGCACCCAATACAGGAGCACCCAAATACATAAAAAAAACTTCTGGAAGATATCAAGGCAGAGATCGACAGCAATACAATCATAATAGCGGACTTTATTTTTTTAAATAAATTATTATTGTTCAGATTATTACAGTTGTTCCTCTTTTTTCCCCTCAGAGCTCCCCTCCACCTGGTTCCCACCCTGCCCCATGCCCTTACCCCCCACCACTGTCCTCATCCATAGGTGTAAGATTTTTGTCCAATCTCTTCCTGCATCTCCCAAACCACATTCCCTCTGAGAATTGTCAGTCCACTCCCTTTCTATGCCCCTGCTTCTATTATATTCACCAGTTTATTCTGACTTAATTTTTAGATTCACTTGTTGATCGATATTTATTTGTTGTCACTTTGTTGTTCATAATTTTTATCTTTACCTTTTTCGTCTTCTTCCTCTTCTTAAAGAATATCCTCCAGCATTTCATATAATCCTGGTTTGGTGGTGATGAAGTCCTTTAGCTTTTTCTTGTCTGTGAAGCTCTTTATCTGACCTTCAATTCTGAATGAAAGCTTTGCTGGGTAGAGTAATCTTGGTTGTAGGTTCTCGCTATTCATCACTTTGAATATTTCTTGCCATTCCCTTCTGGCCTGCATGGTTTCTGTTGAGAAATCAGCTGACAGTCATATGGGTACTCCCTTGTAGGTAACTGACTGTTTTTCTCTTGCTGCTTTTAAAATTCTCTCTTTGTCTTTAGCCCTTGGCATTTTAATTATGATGTGTCTTGGTGTGGTCCTCTTTGGATTCCTTCTGTTTGGGGTTCTCTGCGCTTCCTGGACTTGTAAGTCGATTTCTTTCACCAGGTAGGGGAAGTTTTCTGTCATTATTTCTTCAAATAGGTTTTCAATATCTTGCTCTCTCTCTTCTTCTGGCACCCCCATAATTCGGATGTTGGTATGTTTGAAGTTGTCCCAGAGGCTCCTTACGCTATCTTCATATTTTTGGGTTCTTTTTTCTTTTTCTTTTCAGAATGGGTGTTTTTTGCTTTCTCGTATTTCAAATCTTCGACTTGATTCTTGGGATCCTCAAGTCTGCTGTTGGATCTCTGTATATTATTCTTAATTTCAGTCAGTGTATGTTTAATTTCTGACTGGTCCTTTTCCATTTTTTTTTTTTTTTTTTGTCATTCTCATTAAGATCTTTGAAGGTCTCACTAAACGTTCCTCGGAGGTTTGTAGAAGATTCTTGAGTGACCTTATACCTGTGGTTTTGAACTCTATGTCCAGTAGTTTGCTTTCCTCCATTTCTTTCATTTGTGACATGTTTCTTTGTCTCCGCATTTTGGCTGACTGCAAGGACCCGCTGTGTCTATTGTGGAAGAACTGCTGTGCTGGAGACACCCTTATGGGGTAGGACTTGCTTCAGTGGGGCTTTGGTGCTCACTGAGTCTGCCTCTTGAGTGTGTCCCTTATGGATGTGAGGAGTTGAAATCTGGTATCTGACCACTGGGTACCCTGGCTCCTGGATCTCCAAATCAACCACTGTGTGAGTCCATCCAGCAGGAACTACAGCAATATCAGCAGAGTTCTCCTCTTCGTTTCGGGTTTGGAAGTTTTGGAGCTCTCTGACCCAGCTGCAGTTTGTTAAGTTAAGCTGCAAAAGGGCAGGCGGTTCCTTTGCCCTGCTTGGG